GCAAACCACCAAACCGTTCTACTGGTACATATACCAAACTTGTGCAATCTTTAATCAACATTTTCTTGATGGCAGGCATATAAGCTGGCTGTAGAAACTGTTCAAGGCTTGATAACCTCGGGCAGTCTATAACCCTTAGCTCTGTTAGTGATGAGAAAATGGCAGGGACATCAAAACCATGAAACCAGCTTGGAAGATATTCACCTGGATAACATCTGAGGCACAGAAATTTGATATTGGTGGGAGGGTGTAATGCTTCAAACACTTCTATCTCTTAGACCAATCTAGAGTCAGATTAAAAGTAACCTTCTTCTTCATAAGTTCAATTTTTGCCGCCCGATCCTTGCTTATTTCACAGAGGTTACATAAATGCAAATCTCCAGTGATCAGATTAAAATTATTTAGCAACCCAGCATCCATCTTAAGAACTTGCAATTCAAACTTTTGTAGATTGATCAGATTACTAAAGCCTCTGGGTATTACTTTGATTATACATTTCCTAGCTAATAATAGTTGTAGATTATAGAGGTGACAGAATGCTGCAGGAAGGCTATTGAAAAGGCAAGCGTCAGAGATTTTAAGGTACCGAAGATTCCTCATGTTGCTAAAACTATCTGGCATAGAGATAGAGGCACAGACCATGACGCGCATGCACAAAAGTTCAGCACACCATTTCTCCATAACAGTATTGCTAGCTTTACTGTTTAAAGATTTCTCCGGGGCAGGGGCGAGATGGCGTGCTGTGATTTGGTGGCTTGGGGCGTATGGGCCATCTGGCCGGCCAGGGCCCATCAGTTAGCCTTAGGCGGGCCTTTAGCCAGGGCAAGCAGAGCACATCAAGCCTAACGTCAAGTGTGTGTGTGTCGGTGTGTGGTATTCTTTCTCATCTAACGTCAAGTTCTTTGCAATTGCAAATATTGATCTGTAACGTGCTGTCTGATTTAGGCAACTGTAGCACGAGATCTTGGTATGAGCCAGTTCTTGTACTAAATTTTTTTTATCTTTGGGTTTGATTCTTTTTATGCAATGCCAGGTTAATTTTTAGGCTAAAAATCATATTGTACCAAACATATCTCCAAAGAAAAATGACCTGTTAATAAGTCACTCAACCAGATTAGAAAATTACGTAGGAGTAAAAAATATCTCAACACTTAATTTTTTTTATCTCTTGACAGGCCGATGCAAACGAAGATTAAAAGCCTACATTTATTTGTGGCTAATTTGACACAAAAATGAATAGAAATTTCATTGATTTCTCATTAACTATCGTATTTCTAAAATGTTCAGGAGCAAAATCCTGTTCATCAGCTTGAACAGAAATTTAAAATGTTGTTCCAGCAACTAAACATACTCTTTCGGCAGTGGGATTTCTGAACAAGGAGTAAGGACAGCCTTGGCCAAAAACAAGAACAACTTCGAGACTAATAGATAACTTTGTGGCACTTCACAATGAAATTTGTGCTGTTGTGCACAATTTGGCCCACATGTATCAATAGACACAAGGAAAGTCACGCAAAAAGTTAACAAACCTTAGCACATAGACTGCGGGCCTTGTCCCAATCAATCTTGCTGTAAGGGTCTTTGAAAAGTTCCTTCCTGAATTCCAACACAAGGGCCGACAAACCTCTTCCCATAAATGTAGCACATTGGCAAATACACCATTCGACAATGACACCACATCCTCCCTGCAAGACATTGTAAACCGCAATAGCATATAAGCAAAGAATAACATAGCAACCAAGAGCAAACTACTGAAAAGACTACGGTAATCAGGTAATGTAAAGTAGTTTGATTGCTGGCTGATTGGCCCATTAATTTAAAATGAAAAAAGAATGATACATAAGTGACGAATTTTATGACACAAGATCTTTGGTGATTGGAATATTCAGTTAGGGTTGAATGTCTATTATTTAATCTTCAACACACACTGTATACATCCTTTAGGATCGACTTAGCAACCTTTACCACATACCACTCAGTGGTATAATGTATATATACACCTATGGCATACTAGATTTATGTACACTGAGAAAAAAGAAAGGAGAACCTGGGTGAAATGGCAGGAGATATGGCAGTAGCCATACTTCTGGTGGCACCGGGTTGTTACCAGACCACTCAAATACACCAAGTACCTTTAATAAGCCAGGGAATTAGAAGGAACTAAAGCAGGCCCAGGAAAATGGAAGCGCCTAATAAACAAATAAATCCCTACCGAGAGCCAAAACTTCCCCCATGATGTTATGTACGTTGCTCCACCATGGTCTAAGATCCAGTTTCGAGCTTTCTCCATGGCTCCGCCATCTCCACTATCTGGTCCCTCTCCAAGCAATCTCAAACTAACGTAGTTCAGTGCTGAGCCAAACATGGTGCTTGGAGCCTCAATGTGCAAGCCCCAGCCACCATCTTCATTCTACGTACAGTTACAGTGACAAAATTAGCTAGATTACCTTTATTTTTAGGCATTGTAGTTAGCGTTGACAAATTTAGAACTGATGAATCCTTGCCTGATGATTATAAAGATACCGGCGGATCTCCTTCTGGTGTTCTGATGACAGGACAGTGTTTAGTGCTCCAGTCACATACAATGTTATGATCTGGATAAATGATAAATAAAGTTAGTAGCTGTTTGCCTGTTTTGTAAATAAAACAGGAAGGCAGGAAGCACGAGACATAAGTTTTCTACATATATAATCTAAAAATGAGATGCCCGCCACACTTTGCCAGTTCCTGTTTTAGGAGGCATCTAAATTGGTACTTGCATTGAATCCAAAACAGAAAAAAAAAAACATATATCGGGCTCACATACAACATGAGACATAAGTGAGAAAGAAAAAACAACACAATTTCGTCTTACACTATCACAAGCTTATTAAGCACAGAGCACAGATTTATTAGTCGTAAGAATGCATACATATCCAAGTGCACTAAGCAAGTTGAACATATCACTGTAGACAGAGTTGAAGCAGACGTACCTACCAAGCCTGGCATAGGGAACATAGGACTGCCATAATCCCCAGGCCAGTGTCCATCATGTGCCTTTAGAGTAGAATAGCGGCCGATTGCCCTTTTCAGAGCAGTCGTCACGGCTTCCTCGGTGACATCTTCATGCTCATCGAGCTTGATCGCCGGAAGCAGGTCAAGCTCAAGAGGATTTTCTTTGGCGAACTGCAGTGTGTAAAAAAGAAGAGATGTTTTAAATTTACAGGGAATGCTGAAGAAACACTGGATTTTATAATTGCCAAAAACTGTGTCCATTTTAAACCATTTCACGTGGCAGTGCTACACTGACAGTGTCAGTGACAGGGTTACTGTGGTGAAAAAAAAAAGCGCAAGACAGCGATCGGCAGGCAGGCACCCACCTTTATGCGCATGAGGAGATCAGCGCTGTGCTTGAGCTGGTGCCTTCGGTCGAGGAAGGCCCGGCGCGCGGCGTCGACGGCGGGGTCGGGGTCGGCGGCGGCGTCGAACTCCCAGACCTGGTGGCCGGCGTGTGCGTTCGTCGTGCGGAGCCTGGGGTCCCCGCCTCCCTCCGCGATCCGCAGGCGCCACATCTATCCTCCTCGAATTCCCGCGGCGCGCGGGTGCTGGTGCGCTCGAGGGAGATCCCGATCCGCGGCGGACGACCCTCCCTCCTCTAGCTCCCCTCCGCCGGCCTCCTCTCCTTCCTCCCGCTCGCGCTGGTGGGGTTTAGGTTTAGGCAGAAGCGGCTGCAGGCATTTCAATTTGTTTTTTTCTTTTCGCTTCCACAACCGTTGGTTTGCTCTCTCGTCTCGTGCCGTCCCAGTGCCGTGGTGCGAGCGTGGTGGGTGGCTCGCGCTGGGGCCCGCATGACACGAGTCCGTTCCAGAGATTGGGCCCGCGTCGCCATGCAGTGGACTAGGAGCCCAGCCTCCCGGCAGCCCGCGGCCCAGCAGTGGACGCTGCAGTGGCTGCACGCAGCACGCCGGCCTGTTCACGGCGCGCATGCACACCGGCCGGCCCTCCTCTGATCTCTCTACATGCAGCGGCACCACCGCCAGTCGCCGTGCATGGCGCTATTCACGTGGCCACGTCCACGTGGCCTGAACTCCACCTCCACCTCCACCTCCACTCCCCTTTTCCCTATTCTTCTGTTTATTTATTTATTACTTTGTTTTAAGTATATTTTGTATTCCTCATTTCACGTGGCCACGTGGTGTATTTTTTGTTGTTCATGTTATATCCAAAGGATATTTCATGATATCTTATCGATCATTCACCTAATATTATATTCATGAAATGTTCTATAGATATTAATTGTGTGTTGTTCATATAGTAGTATCCTTGTAATATTCCACACTGTTTTTTTTTCATTATTATTAATAATAAAATACCATGAGATTTTTTTTTTCATGCGAGCCAGGCTAGGAGGAGATGCAACTAATCAATCAGTCCGTACAATGCGGGTCACATTAGTGTCGTTATTCTTATGGCAATATTTCCTCATTCCTGCGTTGTGCCTGATCAGTGATTTCCTGCATTATTTGCCTGTTCTTCAAATCTATATAGTAACTTATACATAGATAGAAAACTCCGTAATTGATGCCTTCCGTTTTATACTGCATGCGTACGTTATAGAGGCATATAATAATTCTTTGATTTATTTACTCATTTACTAGCCAAAATAAAGCATCGATTACAGCGCCTATATACCGTAATGGTACGTACATGTGTGCAAGCAGCAAGCAGAGAGGCGCAGCACATCGAACAGTAGAATTCCCAAGGTATTCAGTTCAAAGTAAAGTAAGCATTCCATGCATTTCGTCCAGTTTATTTTTCTTGCATGCATCGTCGCGCATTGTTAGTCTACAATTCTACATACAGTCTGATCAATTTTCTGTGGCAACATATGAAATATGATACTAGGAAATACACGGAAGAAGAAGAGAAGCAAGTAGTACACTGGAGGGCAAGAGACTCGCCGCCTGCTGCCTGCTCGTCGTGCTCCTGCTGTTGGCGCAGCAGCGGCCGGCGCGGCGGCCATGTCCAAGTTCTGCCGCTGCTACAAGGCGTGCTACGCCGAGTGCCGGAAGGACACCGGCGTTTACCCCTGCAACGTCAGCTGCCTCGAGGACTGCATCAAACGGCCAGCCGCCGCCGACCAGCAGCTGCCGACGACGGCGCGCGCGCGTCGTCGTCCGACGTCCGCCGCCGACTGCAATCGCATCTGCCAAAGCAAAAGCATCTGCGGCGTCATGAGCACCGCCTCCACGGCGGTGACCGCAGGTGATGCTGAGGCGTGCCTGGTTGACTGCCGCAACAGCATCGGACACTCCGCTCCCTTGAAACTGAATGACGCTGCCAACTGATGGTGACGGCTTCAGTTCAGATTTCAGAGTCATACACAACCCGTAGTGTTTGATCAGTTTGTTAATGCGATGACGATCGGCTGTTGACAAACTATGATCTATCTGTAATTATAAAAATATAAACAATGTTCTACCATGAGTCCGTGATCATGTGGAATTGATGTTTCACATCTACTTTAACCTGATGTCCGCTTTTATTAGGAGGCATCTATACAACACACTTGAGTGTTTTACTGGTGGGGATCACTCAATTTTTTTTCTTCACTGTTCTTCTTACTCCAAACCCGCCACCGCCGCCCAGCGCCCACCGCCCCGCCGCGGTGCGGTAGGGTCTCGACGGAGCTCCGTGGTGGCGGCTACGGCTGTGGAGCTCCGGCGACACCCCACCGCGCCCGCGGCATCCTCCTCCTTACCCTCCCCCACCTACAGCCGCCGCCATGGCAATGGACGCCCCTGCCCGGACCTGGCCTAGCCGCCTCCACTGCTGCTGGGACCTTAAAGCCGCCCTCCCGCCGTCCCCACCACCTGGCCGGCTTGCCTCCCCCGAGCCTCTTCTAAACTCGTCGAAGTTGGAGAAGAAAGGACACTCAACCCCAAACCCTAACCAAGCTAATCACCAAAATAGATTAGGGAGCCCAAAACAACAATTTCTTAATTTGAAGACCTAGTTGAGAACTCAGCAATAGTTGAGAACTTCAAAATAACCTTCTCACACCAAAATAACAGGCCAGGTGTAGTTCTAGAATAGGCCCAGCTGATCCCACTATTCTAGGACAGCTTTTGCTTCTTCTATATTATATATGATGCCTTTTTTCATGCATGAATTCACCAGCGTGTTCCTAATAATAATGGAAATTGTGATTTTACCTCCCAAGAACATATAAAAACCTTTTTAGAGTTCAAGGCACCACTGGAAAACTGGATTTTGCCGAGTGCCTGAGACTTTGCCGAGTGCTTTTTATCGGGGCACTCGGCAAAGCAATATTTTGCCGAGTGTCGCACTCGGCAAAGGTGGCTTTGCTGAGTGTCAGGCACTCGGTAAAGCTGGCTCTCGGCAAAACTGGGCTTTGCCGAGTGCCGCAGCACTCGGCAAAGATCCCACTCGGCAAAAGGTGGCCGGCCCGTGATGGCGGTCACCTGCCGTCAGATTTTGCCGAGTGCCTAACGGCCGGCACTCGGCAAAAAATTTTTTATTTTTAAAAACTTATTTTGCCGAGTGCCAGTCCCAGGCACTCGGCAAATTTTTTTTTTTTAAAACATATTTTGCCAAGTGGGATATTTCAAATTTGAACTGCAGGTACATGGAATAATGGACTTTGGTCATCCAAAATTAATGCGTTCGTGCCGTTGGGATTGTCGGCCTTCGTGCCGTTGTGATTGTCAGTCTTCGTGCCGTTGTTTCTTGCAGGTTGGAAACCTCCTCGTGCAGGGGAGGTGCTGCCGAAATTTTCAATTTTGAGTCTAACACATGCAATCTCTTCTCTTTTGTGCAGCCTCCGTCGGCGGGTTCAAACAATCCCGCTACCGTGTCACCGGTGGCTGATCGTGTCAACCCTTCGCCACAGTCCGGTCCTTCACCGCAGTTCGGGGGGCCACACCTGCAGTCTCCGTCGCCGCAGTAGGGATGTTGAACTTTGTGATGTTGAACTTGTAATAATAAAGTTGTGATGTTGAACTTTGGTGCATTTGTGATGGATTTTCGATGGATTTATTAAATATGCGTGTGCTTATAATATATAATGCATGTTGGTGATATAGATGTGATGATTGATGTATATATATATATATATATATATATATATATATATATATTGTCTGTTACAATGGAATGTAAATTTTTTTTTGCAATTCTCGGGGTCTTTGCCGAGTGCCATGGGCAAGGCACTCGGCAAAGATTTTTCAAAAAAATATATATATAATTTCTTTGCCGAGTGCTTCGCCGCGGCACTCGGCAAAGTATTTTTTTTTAAAAAATTCAGAAATTCTTTGTCGAGTGCCTAAATAGGGGCACTCGGCAAAGAAATTATTTAAAAAAAAATAAAAAAACTTTGCCGAGTGCCTGGGCAGGGGCACTCGGCAAAGTAATTTTTTAAAAAAATAAAAAAAACTTTGCCGAGTGCCTGGATAGAGGCACTCGGCAAAGTACTTTTAAAAAAAACTTTGCCGAGTGCCTGGGCTGGGGCACTCGGCAAAGTAATTTAAAAAAAATAATTTTTTTTTGCCGAGTGCTGGGTCGGACACTCGGCAAAATAACCGTTAACGGCCGGCGCCGCAACAGCCGAAAATATTTTGCCGAGTGCCGCCCCAAGCACTGGGCAAATTTTTTTTTATTTTGCCGAATGCCCCGATAAAAAGCACTCGGCAAAGACCCTTTGCCGAGAAAATTTTTGCCGAACGGACTTTACCGAGTGCAAAGGGCTCTTTGCCGAGTGTAAAAACACTCGGCAAAGCCGCGGCCTCTAGTAGTGAGGGCAATCAGCCCCGGCCTTTCAATTAAAATCAAAAGACCATATATCCAGTTATAGCACAGATAAAACCAAAAGAAAACCCAACTCCAACCGCCAACCGGCAACCGGCAGTGGGTTGAACCAAAACTCCAGAGACAGTCCACGCCTTAGACAGTTCAGAACGAGACAGCTAAGCTACTGAAACAAAACCCTATTACACAGGCCTCATGGCCACCTCCAGATCTCCCCACTAAGGAGTGAGAGGAGCTTCCTTCATCACCTTCGGAGCATCTTTCCAGTAGTTTTCCCCGTCCTGTGCTCCAGCTTCCATGCAGCGATACAGCTTCAGGTATCTCCCCTTTTGTATGCCTGGGAGCCACCTGAGGTATCTTTGCCGCCACTTTGATCTTCTCCAGGTATCCATCCAATAGGTTTGTCTTGTCTCCAGGACACAGAACTTTCCAGTTCTTTAAGTGCCCATGAATTCTGTAAAGGAGAACTTCCATACTTTTCCGTCCAATTCTCTGAAAACAACACTCATTCCTGAGTTTCCATATTATAGACCATAAAACAGCAGAAGTAACCATATTAACTATTAAGAATTTTTTAGAGCTCAGCCAAAATTTACCAACATCAATAATATTGCTCTACCTACTGAAATTCCTAGAATCCCAGAGATCACTAGACAACATTGTTTAGCTACTGCACAATCAAAGAAAAGGTGCTGACTACTTTCTTTTTCAGAGCAGAACAAACAAAACTCTCATCCTCCACTTTCCTTCTTTTAGCAAGGTTATCTCTAGTAAGGACTCTATTGTTGTTTATAAGAAGCCAAAGAAACATATGAACCCTAGGAGAGATTGTGATGAGTAAGTGCCTTTAGATGTGAACTTCCAGACCATTTCATCCTCCTCATCTGAAAACTGAATAGTGGAGACCAGCTCCACCTCTAACATATAGAAACTTCACGTCCACATGTCCGTATATGGCCCAATGCAAGTACGTACGTCACATCCTGGCGAATGTGAATATGGACTGCGTGACTAGAATTAGAAAATTGAACAGGTGTATGAGGTGATCGATGCTGAGGAGGCTGGGAATTTGGAAAATCCAGCAGGAGTCGGTGTTCGACGATCTCGGCGACCCAAACACCCAACCATCGGCCCTATTTTCAGCAGACGGCAGCAATAGCTGATCAGTGGTAAGCAGTTCATTGCTTCACATTCTCTGTAAGAGTGTCCGCTAATCCTAAAACCTAATTGGCTGATTTGGCAGCAACTCAATTGGAACTTTAGATAATTAGTAATTACATAAGTCATTCACCGGCATACTACAAGAAAAAGTGGTATTAACGACGGGATATGTGGTCGTTAAAACTCCAAATGTGGTCGTTAAAAGGTATTAACGACCACAAAAGTGTGGTCGTCCATGGTTGTTAAAAGCTCCATCGATAATACAATTAACGACCACATAATATTTCCCGTCATTAACTTTTCAACGACCGAACAATATGTGGTCGTTGATACGAGACATGTAACGACCGCAATTCTAATAGTAACAACCACATTTTCATCGTTAATATTTTTGGTCCATCTACCATGAGGCACCAAGGACCATGTTTTAGTAATAACGACCACATTTTTTGTAATGAATAATATTTTTGGGCACATCTACATTGACATATTTTTCCACAATGGCTACTTATTTATAACACCAGCCACCACTTGACACCATATACAATGACATATTTTTCACAGCAGAGAAAATACAAGTAATAAACTTGCAACAGCAAGCAATTATTATTTTTCCAATTTATCAATACATAAAAATATATCTTTGAAAAAATAGAAAAAAACAGCTCACCATGAAACTAACAGTGCCTAACTTATGGATCATTCCTATTACAAAAAAAATTAGCACCAGTAAGCTATCTTGAAGGTGAACACCCGTGTACTACTATAACTAAAATACTAATCTTCAACTGGAGGCACTCTGCAACATTGTTCTCCGACAGCTCGGTCTTGTCAACAAGGAGAAGCCTGCAGCAACTTCAATGTTAACACTATACATGACCCAAACAAAATAATAACCAGTTAAAACTTAAATGAACTGATGTCAGATTGCAAGATCTAAACGAATGTACTTTCAAAAAAAGATCTAAAGGAATTTAACTTGTTACCTTGTATATATCTATACCCATAACCATTATTAAAAGAATTAACAAGACAGGTAATAAGTCTCTTTCCAGTAAACTGAGCACAGCTCCTCTTCGATAGAAAGCATCTGCATATGTCACCAAAACTAAGGTAAACATATCTTTAATACCACAGATGTGCGACATTCATCTATAATCCATGAGTTAACATCTTGAGTTGCAATATGCACTGAATAAGCAGAACTATGCCTGAGATGATCTAAGTTTTGACATCTAGGCAATAAACAATAACTCAACCCTATCTTATTTTACCTCAAAGTTCGGTACCAATATAGGGATGAGGAAGCATGAACTCTGCTATTTTCAATAGATGGACAAAGCTGTTTTCAGATATATGA